CGCTCAGTTGTGCTTGAGTTGTTTATTTCCTATGTGATCGACAGTAGCTGCTCTCACCAGCCCTCTATATAATGGGAGGCAGCTCAGAAGTTGGCATGGCGATGGCTAGCAACCTACCTTACTTTTTGTCCCAATAGGAACAGGTAATATCCAGCCCCTTTTGTGAAAAACACAACATTAATATATGTTGCTGTTAGTATCCCCACAGGGGCAATTTGATACTATACCCAACCACTATCCCCAAGATTATTAATGACCATGACCACCCTAGAAGACACTGGCTTTATTAAACACCATTAATCCCACCGTCCAAAAAAGTTAACTGCCTCTTTTTATTCATTTTTGGGATGTAGACATTGCCATCTGGCCAGCATTTATTGCATATCCCTAGTTACCCTTGAGAAGGTGGTGGTGAGCTGCCTTCTTGAATCACTGCAGTCCACCTGCTTTGGGTTGACCCATATTGCCATGAGGGAAGGAATTTCAGGATTTTGCTTCAGCAACAGTGAAGGAACAGCAATACATTTCCAAGTTAGGATGTTTAGGGGCTTGGAGGGAAACTTGAACATGGTGCTTTTCCCATGTATCTGCTGCCCTTGTCCTTCTAGTTGCTTGCAAATGTGGTGTCAATCAAGCAGGATGCTTTGTCCTGGATGGTGTCAAGTTCCTTGAGTGTTGTTGTGGCTGCAACCATCCAGGCAAGTGAGGAATATTACATCATACTCCTGACTTGCGCCTTTTAGATGGTGTACGGGGTATGGGGGCTCAGTAGTTGTGTTATTCACTGCAGTATTCCTAAACTCCGACCTTATCTTGTAGCCACTGTGTTTATGTCATGAATCCACTTGAGTTTCTGGTCAATTGTAACAGCCAGGATGTTGATAGTGGGGGATTCAGCGATGGCAACAACATGAATGTCAAGGGATGGTGGTTAGATTGTATCTTATTGGTGATGGTCATAGCCTGGCATTTGTGTGGTGTGAATGTTACTTGCCACTTGTCATCCCAAGTGTGGATATTGTCCAGATCTTATTGCATTTGGACATGGACTGTGTTACTTTCCTAAGCAGGATACGTAAGCAGCTGGAAATCTTAGAAACTTATATCCCAATCATCTAACCCCTTCCTCCATGTTACTAGACACCATTCCCATCCCTTGCAGGTTCATCAATGATCAGTCAATAAAATCTGAGTCAACGTACCCAGCACCAAGTGGGGAATGCACTGGATCAGTCTCTGCTGCATATTGATAATTAATAATAAGCTACCTCCACGTACAGGCACAGCCTCCCCGCACATCACAGCTGTAACATCAGGAATCCAGATAGAGGACACCCACAAGGAACTGGGAATGCAGATCAAAGAAGCTGGAAAAGTGTGTCCTGTATTCAGGGGGTGCTCTCGATGCAGAAAGAGCGTCCCAAAAGTGGTACACACCATTTTTTCCCACTGTCTGTGCTGCAGGGGGTGGGCGGATCAATCCTGAGCTAAAAACTGAGAACAGAGATCTTCAATTCTTCAGAAAGGGATTGAGAGAGCTTCTTAAAAATGGCAGTGCATTGGGAGTGAGGGGGAGATTGGGATTAGACTGGGTAATATTAATGAGGATGGGAAATGCACAGGATAGGGGAATTACATTGATTTGGATATTAAATGAGATGGGGAGCAAGCACTGGAGTAGATAACTGAGTGGGATACGGTTAAGGAGTTATTGTGAGAATAGGATCAGGTTGAGTGGGTCATTAATGAGTCTCTATGAGAGAGAATAGAAAGAGATTAATCTGTGGGAGGCTTTTAAAGCATTTGAGCGGTGAGCAAGAAAGTGGAACTGATTGGGCTGAGTGGAAAATGAGTTGATGGAAAGAAGCAGGAGAGTAGGAAGAAAGAGAGAATGAGCAGGAATGTGGGATCAGACCAAGAGAGACAGCTGGGCTGGGCATTTCTATCTGCATGGGCACAGGCAGGCAGGAGGGAGAGAGGCAGTAAGTCAGGTGGGATGGTGAAGGAAGCTGTGCCCATATGGGGAGTGGACAGAGAGTGAAAAGGGAATGTATAGAATATCAAATACGTGTCAATGGTTAGGTCATTGCTCACTTGAGGAGATTCCTCAGGTACCACCTCTGTCTGTTTTATCTAATTCACACAACAGGAGATCCATTAACCCCTCAGCTCACAGCACTAACCTGTCCTCACACACTATGTTAGGTTGACCCTACCTGCTACGTCACTGACGATCAATGTACTCAGCACCAATCCCATCAGTAGCATCATGTCTGCAGTGAAATTCCTTTCCCCTCACCTGAAACACAACAAAAACAATTCACCGTCAGTGTCAAGGTTTCACAGTTAAGGTGGGTCTCTCCTGCTCCTATTCTTACCTCTATCACTCTGTCTGTCTGTCTCTCTCCCAGTTGCCTGATGTGATGAGGTGGTAAGTCTTACTGTAAATATATATATACAGCAGACCTCGAAGAAGGAAGGAACTGTTGAAATCAGATCTAATAGGCTCAAGAATTAATGATGTCCAAATTCCTGCTGACCAATCAGAGACTGACCACTCAGCACAGAAAGGATTGGAAACTATGAGAATGTTCCTGGAGTTACACAATAAATTGTACAACGTGGCACTGGAAGATCTCATTGCGAAATGAAACTGTACTCATGGTTCCTGACACCTGTAATCAGGCTGGGAGTGAATGCATTTCTAAGATCGGAAATTAATGAATATTATCAATGAGAATATTTCCAGTGTACTCTCCATTATATTGCTTTAAACATCACCTAAATAAGTGAATAATTTTCACATAGATATGTGAAGTATTTTACCGTTTGATGAGGTGAACAAGATTGTTACATCCATCAGTCCCCCATTTCTCTCCCTGTTGGAAGGTTTCCTTCATGCAATAGCAGCAGTGAGATTGAACCTGTTTATAAAGGACATGGTCTATTCAGAAGCACTGGTAGCTTTCAAAAGGAACACAATTGATGCTTGTTCAGGAGTGAAATTCGGAAAATATTTGAATCAGTTGAATTTGAGTCCTATCCTTGGAGATTAGACGTGCAGGAATGTTGCAGTCCGATAAAATATCTTGTATATATTTAAAGCCGAAATCAAACAGTTCTGTTTAATTCGAGCCAATAACATGTTTTGTTTGTTTGTCCTTCATCTTAGATGGTTTATTCTTTCCTCCTGAAATGTGTCTTGATAAATCATGCTTTTTTCATTCCTTTACATCTCAACATTTTTTTAAAAATTTGAATAATTATTGTCAGCTAACACTTTACCTTGAATATTTTGTCATTTTTCTTCCAAAGAAGCTGTGATAAGTTCTTATTTGCATTAAAAACTTTGAAACTGTGCATATGTATATCATTATTTTCCCCATAAATTGCATTGAATCTCATGTAACTGATCTCTTTAAATGTTTTAGTATACTAACTCATGTGAATCTTAATATAATTGAATTGAATTGAATTACCTTATTTACTTTTTTGCGTCCGGAGTTAATCATATTGAAATGATTTGAGTATTGATACTCAATATTGAGTGTACAACTCTAACTGTAACATCTCTGAATCAATGGTTAAAGGCCACAATTTATAGTAACTGGTGAGAGAAAAGAAATCTAGATGTCTTCAGGCTTTAGGGATTTGATGAAGAGAAAGACACTCTATCTCCATTCCATCTGCCCTTACAGCAGTCCAAAGACTTCTACCAGTGTCATGCATACCCACAAACTATCCAGCTGCCCAAGAGCCAATGAGACAATTGTTGTCAATTTGACGGCCTTTGGCATCCACAATTGGTCACAACTCCAGAAACCAATCAGCAACCCATTGCCGACTAAATATAATTTTGTACACAGGCCCTGCTGCCAGACCAAACACAACCAGCCTCCCCACCACTTGAACAAAGCAGCAGTGACTTAGAGTAAGTTTCAATAACCTGCTTTTTAAAATGTGCAGCAATTCCTTCGAAAAACCTTGGCTTTTAAAACAGTTCTTTTCCCAACTCAGTCCAGATCAAATTACAGAAGAATAAAAACAATCATCTTTAAAATCCAAGTTAAAGGTTCACCCAAGTCAAAATAATATTTGATATTTCACTTTGGCCAAAAAAACTAAACACCAAATCTCTTCCCTTAAACTAAATATCAACAGGACAGTGCAGCTTTAAGAAAAAGAGGAAATAAATTACATTATTTGTCTTGATTCTTCTTTCTTCAGTTAGCTTTTATGCAGCTGTGATTTAAAGCAATGAAGCGAATTCTCAGAACACAGCCAGTTAACAGCCAAGGAACAGTTGTAAAACAATATGCAAAGTCAGACCACAGAGGGTTAATATTTTATTCAGTGGCTTTCGACAGAATCACACATTCAAGAAGAAAAGATTTATACCACAATAGACAAAAACAAGTCTCTCAACCTCATAAACAAGATTTTTGTTTGCCGTTGACTCAATAAAGCAGTTTGCCTTCTAATTTTCTTTCTTCTAAAGATATTCATTTATTCTCAATATTTTTCTGTCTCATTTTTACTTGTAGGGATGGAGAGGTACAGAATGTTTTATTTTATGATCAGAAACACAAGCAGCCAGGGTACACTGTCATGAGAGAAGAGCTGGCTTCTTCTCCTCTGGATTGTTACTAATACCTTTAGTCTGCCCAATTTCCCTTCCACTTCCAACATTCCGAGTTCCTGCAAAGGGTGATCTGTGCCTCTGTGAGATTACATAACTGTTTCATTTATATCTTCTTGGACATCATACAACTCCTGAGTCAGCTTCTCTTTTGTCTTATTACATTCCATGAGACCTTTTCCAAGTTATTGCGCCTTAAACAAACCAGTGGCTGAATGCAGACTGGGTGTGCTTTGGCGTTGGAATGCATTAGCTGACAGTTCAGCTCCTAACTATAAAGTACAAACCAATCTCATTAAACCATTCATCTCCTGACCTTTCTGCCACAACTATTTTCTCAGGTTAGTCACCTCCCCTCCTGATTCATTTTCCAGTCCCATAGTGCATTTCTTTGTCAAGTGAAAGAATGCAAAGGTGAGTTCTAATGAAATATCAAAATCTACATTGATTACAAGTAGACATAGATTAATTAGTCATATTTTTATTACATGAGTATAACTAAAGCCAAGTCCATTATGAAATATTAGTTTCTCTACTAATCCTACCACCAACCTATAACGAATGGCTGGATTGGTTGAACTGAACATGCAGAGCTGACTGGGCCTCGTTTCCTGGACTGTTATGATATAGTCTTCTGACCCAGTTCATCACAAGCGGCTGATTAACTATGCCAGAGCTCCTTGGACTGAGACTTGACAATACCCTCGAACATTGCTAAAAGAAGACAAGGAGATCATGCTGTTCATTGTGCAGTAGAGGCAGGTGATGGCCTAGTGATATTATCACTGGACTATTAATCCAGAGACCGAGGTAATGTTCTGGAGACTGGATTTGAATCCTGCCATGGTAGATGGTGGAATTCACATTCAATAACTGTCTAGAAATAACGGCCAAATGATGACCATGAACCTGTTGCTGATTATCAGGAGAAAAGCCCATATGATTCACTAGTATCCTTTCAGGAAACAAATCTGATTCCCTGATCAGGCCTATACGTGACTCCAAACCCACAGCAATGTGATTGACTTTTAACTGCCTGATGGGCAATAAATGCTGGCCCAGCCAGTGATGCCCACATCCTGTGAATAATGTTTTTTTTGAAAAGGCTCAACAGACTTGGAAAAAAAGGACATGATTTTGTTCAGCATGAGAAGAGGGTGTTAATTAGTTGGAGTATCGTTGGCCTGTATGTTGTAGTGGGAACAGTTAACTGTCAATCTTAATGCTCAGTCTAGGCAGGTAGATTTTGATTGCTCAGCTGTTGCATCAAAGAAGAATTTTTTCCATGATCCATTTTTTAATGAAAAGGGTCTGATGTATATGCAAATTTCTTCTGATGGGGCTTAAAATTTCAGTGCATTAAGAAAATGCAGGAAGACTAAAGAAAAATGCAATTGCCTTACAGCAGGGGTCGAAAGCAAACAGATGAACAGCTCAATCCAGAAAGTTAATGAGTTGAGTCTGTGTCTTGCTGTGCAAAGGAAGTGGAGACAAGGCAGCTGGACACAGTTTAGGGAACTCACATGTTCTCTCTGAGCTAAAGGCAATTGTGAGTTTGTTTGCAATTTGTTTTAGGTGCTCTGGAAGGTAGCATCAAGTGAATGCACAAAAATTTATCAAAAGGAGACCAGTTACATTGCTGCTAGACTATGGGAGAAGCCTTAGTGTGGAGATAGTGGTGACTGTTCACTCAGGTTTGTAAGGATATTGCTTGGATAAAAGAAATGGTGCAAATTTGAATTTTATTTCCCTTGCTATTTGTAATGACATCTTTCCAATTTTTCATCTCATGTAATATGATTTTTTTTTCTTGAGTAATAAATGTTTCATCCTTTGTTTAAGTGTACTGGCAGGTTCTTGTAACTATGTTCAGTTTCTGAATTCCATAGTTAAAAATAATTATTATCTAACAAACCAGGTTTCACTTTGGGTTCTGAATTATTCAGTATTCTCATCATCTGCGTCATAACAGTGGACACTTCACCTGATGAAGGAGCAACACTCCGAAAGCTTGTGATTTCAGATAAACCTGTTGGACTTTTAACCTGGTGTTGTGTGACTTCTAACTTAGTCCACCCCAGTCCAAAACCTGCTCGTCCACATCATAATGACCAGAAATAATCGGGATAACTGAAACCTGGTTACATGAAAGGATAAGGAAGGAAAAGCATGTAGAATCAATTCTAATCACAGATAATATGGCAGCGGGAAAGGGGGATGTTGACTAACATTAAGGTAGAAACAGATTCTAAATGCATAGAGGGAAGTGATACAAAGGATCAATAATATTACAGATTATCTGAAAGTGGAGGAAGAAAGATGTTAGCAAATCAATGAAATTAATAACAAAAAGCTAAATACTCATTGTGGAATATTTCTACAATTCCCAAATAAGCTGATATAAAGAGGCAGAGAAGTAAGTAAAAGGAACTTTTGTCATGTGGGTTTATGCCAAATAGTGAGTTTAATTCAAAACAGACTAATTGAGAAGAAGGCAAAGTTAAAGTTGTCTTATATAAGAGACCACATCATGAACTGAAAATGTGAAAAAGGATATTGTGTTTAAAAAGGAACAAATGTGCAGGGAGTTGTTTGCAGTTTGGTGAAACAAGTGAAGCCATCTGACGTACATGAAACGATGTAATCTTTTGGGGACATTGAAACCAGACAAGATAGTAGTGATAGAGCTCAACATAGATTAGGTTGCAATTTAATACATACTGCATGAGGGATATAAAACAGAGAGAAGTGACAAAACCTCCAGAAGTTTGCTGCATCTATTTTTCTCCCACCACCTTCTTCCTCCCTTCTCTGTAAAGTTGCTCTTCAGAATTTTCTGTCAAAAGAGCGGAAAGAAACACTGAATAAAAGGTTCTCAAGCCCAAAGGCAAAAAGAAAGGTCATGGGTCCAACCAAGCAATCAGTTCACTCCGGACCTGCATCATTGTATATATAACATCAAGTCGTTATCGAATTTAGGAAAAGAATTGTGAAAGCAACCTATCTAGTTTTGGGATTTTGGACTAATCATAAGCCCATAAGATATTGGAACAGAATTAGACCATTCAACCCGTTGAGTCTGCTCCATCATTCGATCATGGCTGATATGTTTTTCAACCCCATTCTCCTGCCTTCTCTCTATAACCTTCGATTCCCTCACTAATCAAGAATATATCTATCTCATCTTAAACACAATCAACAACTTTGGCCTCCACAGCCTTCTGGTGGTACAGAACTGTGTTCATTTGACTCTTTCCTTTCTTCCAATCATAATTTTTATGCTTCAGCTGGCACTTTTGTCACCCCGCTGTCAGTGTGTATGTGCCTGGGGGTGGGGGAAGGGGGAGTTTCAAAAGTTTAAGACATATATAAATTAGAAATCTTGTTTTTTTATTGTTCTGTTCTTGTTGATGTGAAGAATGTTAGAATGTTACAATAAATGAAGTTATTTTGTTGTTACTGAAGGAAACTGGTGTGCTTTGCATTTATTTTTGGTAGCAGTCAATCAGAGGCAAATTAGGATTTTTGTAGCTTCATTAAATTTTCACCTTTGTGCCAATTCCAGGAATAGTGGAGGTTAATTCCCAACACATTCTTCCAGCAGGTCATGACACTTAAGTCTTAGAATGTAAAAAGTGTTACTTGTTATTCATTAATACTAAAGCCTGATATACATGGTAGTCACAGATATACCAGTCTCTGATCTTATTGTTACATGAGATAAGGGTGAATCTATCTTCTTTGTGTGTTCACATTCTTATGAGTTCAGGACTGTCTCATTCTGGACTGTAGTGTAGTGCAGCCTCGTGTACTACTGTAAAGGAAAAAACAGAGTTAACGTTTTGGGTCCGGTGACCCTTCCTCAGAAGTCAACTCAGTTCTGAGGAAGGGTCACCGGACCCGAAACGTTAACTCTGTTTTCTCCTCCACAGATGCTGCCAGACCTGCTGAGCTTTTCCAGCAACTTTGTTTTTGTTCCTGATTTACAGCATCCGCAGTTCTTTCAGTTTTCATTGTGTACTATTGTAGTTGGTTCTAGCTCCATCCTGTGGACAACTGCTGTATTGCAAATATGATAAAAGGGCCTTTACAAAGAAGAATTTTTTCATGAATACAGCAAAAAGCTGGTTCACAGTTATTATTTTTGTTTTTTTTTAAGTTGTACTTATATTTGATCACAGTCAACTCAAACTGACAGAAATACACAACAGACAGTTAAATGCTCATTGTAACAGGTTAAAGGTTATACTGATACTGTAACAGTTTAAAAGATGGTTACAAACTTCACAGTAACCAGATTACAGGCTGTTATATTCGGAGAGTCGGTGCGGACTCAATGGGCTGAATGGCCTGCTTCCACACTATGGGGATTCTATGATTCTATGCACTCATTGTAGCCAGGTTACTGGCCATTATACGCTCAGAATAACATTACAGACACATACATGCACAGTGTAACCAGCTTACAGGTTGTTACACATGCATTATAATCAAATTACAGACTGTTACATGATTGGTGTAACCAGGTTACTGACAGATGTGCACTCAGTCTAACCAGGTTACAAGCTGTTACATGCTCACTGTAACTAGGTTACAGACAATTACCATTTGCTGGCATTATAACTAGACTTAACAAAGGCTGTAGAGCCGATGTGAAGTTTTTAGAGGTGTAGAATTGTCAGGTTACACCTGTAAGCCAAACATCACTCAATGCAGAAAGTCCTGGGAAGTTTAACATAAAGATTGCTAACTGTATTGTTTAGAACTATGAATTTAAGCTGAACCATTGCCTACACTGTAAATGGTTGTCACAACATAGGTTAACTTTTCCAAACATGTTAGTGATAATTATTGGAGCCATATACAGGTGTTGTGATAATGTTACACAGCCATTTCAAAAAAAGGCAAGTGGCATTTGTGATTTCCTTCTTGTGGTTTCATGTTGGGATATTCAAAAACTTAATACAAAGCGCAAAAGGTTAAGTGGAATTCTTGCGGTCATTCCCATTATTTACTTGATGAAACTCGGGACAAACTGGGACTGTCTTCCCTGTCTCAGACCCAATACATCAAGCAGGAAGAGAAGGATATGTGCGTGTCTGTACAGATCAAGCTGCAAGGGAAGAGCTCTTCCAGAAAGTTCCATTGATGCTGGATGTTGAATAAGATTCCATATTCGCAAGTTTCATTATCTCCCTGTCCCTCACTCTCACTCCTGAACAAACATCAATCGTGTTCCATTTGAAAGCTATCAGTGATTCTGAATGGATCCTGTTCTTTATAAACAGGTTCAATCTCACTGCTGCTATTGCAGAAGGAAACCTTCCAACAGGGAGAGAAATGGGGGACAGATACAATTCAGATTTGGTATAACAATCTTTTTCATCGGATCAAATGGTAAAATTCTTCGCATATCTCAGTGAATGTTATTCACTTACTTTGGGAGTATTTAATCCGATGTAATGGTAACTACATTGTAAATATTCTCATTGATAACATTCATTAATTCCTGATCTTAGAAATACATTCACTCCCAGCCTGATTACAGGTGTCAGGAACAATGAGTACAGTTACACTTCTCACTGAGCTCTTCCAGTGCCACGTTGTACAATTTAATGTGTAACTCCAGGAACATTCTCATAGTTTCCAATCCTTTCTGTGCTGAGCAGTCAGTCTCTGATTGATCAGCAGGAATTTGGACATCATTAATTCTCAAACCTATTGGATCTGATTTCAACGGTTCCTTCCTTCCTCGCGGTCTGCTGTATATATTTACAGTAAGACTTACCACCTCATCACATCAGACAACCGGGAGAGAGACAGACAGACAGAGCGATAGAGGTAAGAATAGGAGCAGGAGAGACCCACCTTAACTGTGAAACCTTGACACTGACGGTGAATTGTTTTTGTTGTGTTTCAGGTGAGGGGAAAGGAACTTCACTGCAGACATGATGCTGCTGATGGGATTGGTGCTGAGTACATTGATCGTCAGTGACGTAGCAGGTAGGATCAACCTCACAGAGTGTGTGAGGACAGGTTACTGCTGTGAGCTGAGGAGTTAATGGATCTCCTGTTGTGTGGATTAGAGAAAACAGACAGCGGTGGGACCTGAGGAATCTCCTCAAGTGAGCAATGACCTAACAACTAACACGTATTTGATATTCTATACATTCCCCATTCACTCTCTGTCCAGTCCCCATATGGGCACAGCTTCCTTCACCATCCCACCTGACTTACTGCCCCTCTCCCTCCTGCCTGCCTGTGCCCAGGGCAGATGGAAATGCCCAGCCCAGCTGTCTCTCTTAGTCTGATCCCACATTCCTGTTCGTTCCCTCTTTCATCACGCTCTCCTGCTCACCCTCCCTGAAATAATTTTCCACTCAGTCCAAACCTACTCTCCTGCTCACTGCTCAAATGCTTTAATAGCATCCCACAAACTAATCCCTTTTTATTGTCACTCATAGAGACCCATTAATTACCCATTCAATCTGATCCCATTCTCATATTTACTCCTCAAACATGTCCCACTCAGTTATCTACTCCTGTGCTCACTCCCTGTCTCATTTAATATCCAAATCAATCTAATCCCACTGTCTTGCTCACTCACCATACTCATTAATATTCAGCCAGTCTAATTCCAATCTCCCCCTCATTCCCAATACACTGTCATTTTTATGGAGCTGTCTCATTTCCTTTATTAAAGAATTGAAAATCTCTGTGCTCAGTTTATGACAGACAATTCCACATTCTGACCATCCACTGGTGCGTATCAGTCTCCGAAATTCCTCAGCCAATTGTCTGGACAAAGTCAGAAGGATTGTATACACCCCACCCCCAGTACTGATCCCGCTCCAGAGTATAGGGGATAAATGTGAAGTTTGTTATAAACTCTGAGTCAAAGGGCACTGGCATCACTATGGAGCCATCACTGCTCCCACAGAGCCTGGGACTGGGACCTGGCACCATCCAAAGTTGCCCCACTTCCTTCCCCTCCACAGACATTCCTGTGTGCCCTTCACCCTTTACCCAACCCCCTCACTCTTCAATCCTGTGGTGTCCAGGCTGCTTCTCTGACGTGCATTCCCAGTTCCTGGTGCACATCCTGTATCCGGATTCCTGTGATGTCACAGCTGGAACGCGCTGGGAGACTGTGCCGGTTTGGGGAAGTAGCTTATTATTAATTTGTGTCACTTGTTACCATGACAACGTGCAGCAGAGACTGATTCAGTGCATTCCTCACTTGGTGCTGGGTACATTGACTCAGATTTTATTCACTGATCATTGATGAACCTGCAAGAGATGGGAACAGTGTCTTATAACAATAGTATGGAGCAGAAGTTGGCCATTCAGGCCTTTGAGCCTGATCCACTGTTTAATAAGATTGTGGTTGACCTGTTTGTAAATTTAATCAGCATTCCCACCAATTTCCTTTCACCCCAATTCTTACCAAAAATCTATCCACCTCCGCTTTAAAAACAATAAGATGTTGTTCCACCACCTTTTCAGAAAAGGAGTTCCAAAGAAACACAAATCTCTGCAAGGAAAAAAAAATCTCACCATCTCAGTTTTAACTGTGAAACCCTGGATTTTTAAACAGCAAACAGCTCCTAGTTCCAGATTCTCCAATGAGAGGGCACGTCCTCTTCACATCTACACTGTCAAGACCCCTCAGGATCATAGTTATTTCAATCATGTCGCCTCTTACTCTTCCAAACTCCAGTGGATACAGGCCTAGTCTGTCCAACCTTCCCTCATAAGACAACCTGCCCATTCCACAAATTATTCCAGTTAACCTTCTCTGAACTGCTTCCAAGGCATTTATGATCTTGTGGACAAACAGGAGGCTGGAAGAACACAGCAAGCCAGGCAACATCTGGAGGGAAGGAGCAGTCAACAATGTGGGTATTACCCTTCTTTAGGACTGGAGCAGGTAATACCCAAAACATCTACCTGGATTCCAGCATCTGCAGTTTTTTTTTGTCTCTAACCAAGCATTTATGTCCTTCCTTCAATAAGGAAACCAACGCTGTAATTGTGATCACACCAGTGTTCTGTATAACTAAAGTATAGCCTCCATATTTTTCCCTCCCATTCCCCTCACAATGATGGTGACATTCTATTGTCCTTTCTAATTATTTGCTGTACCTGCGTACTAGCCTTTTTCAATTCATGTACTCAGACATCCAGATCCCTCTGTATCTTAGAGCTCTGTAATCTTTCATCAATATGCTTCTTTTTTATTCTTCCAGCCAAAATGAACAACTTCACATTTTCCCACATTATACCCTTTGCCACATCCTTGCCCATCACTTAACCTGCCTGGATTGTTTTGGAGGTTATTATGTTCACTTCACAACTTTTTCTCTACCTATCTCTGTGCCATCAGCCAATATAGCAACCAAACTTTTGGTCCCTTCGTCCAAGTTATATACATAAATTGTAAACATTTAGGACCCTATGTTATGATCCCAGTTAACAGTAATTTTGGACAAGTCAGAGCCTAGAATAAACATTGACTTGATAGATCATAAGTTTTATTCTTGTAATTATTATGATTAATCACTGAAAGTGTTTGCACAAGTCTGCCAGGGTTCCTTTAACACAAGAATATAAGTTCATCACAAAAGTAAAAAAAGATAGTCAATTTGAAAAGATCTTAACATTTGTGGCAAAAATAAAAATTCGACCTTTTTCCCAGCAATATCCTTTCTGATACACAATCACAGTGTGAAATTTTACTTCAAGACTAACTCTAATTTATTATTCAAATAACCTTTTCAGTCTAACCTCCTTGTGAAACATTTTTTAAAACTTCTTCCAGGTTCTGATAGTCTGGATTCCTTCTCTGTTCTGACAGTCTAAAGCCGAACTCACAACCTGGAGATTCTACAATCCTAACAAACTGCCCGCTGTGCAGATAAAACTGTTCTCCCAAGGGAAAAGCTGATTCTTCTGAATTTAGACAATTATGCATGGCCTTAATTATTTATTTTTCTATGTGTCATTATCTCAATATTGTAAACACTTCCTCAATTAACTCCTCAGGTATCTGGTTAGGCACTGACTAAGTTGTGCACTTTCTTGGAAATAATGTATCTCAGTCAATTGTACCTCTATTTTTAAAAAAATAAATTTGCCAATGATAATGCACCTTTATTACCACACTGATCCCTGTGGCATACCATTTTTTTACATTTTACAAACTAGAAAAAGATCCATTTATGCCTCCTTTCTGCTTCCTGTAAGCCATCCATTCTTCAATATACTGCCCCCTATACCATGAGTTTTTATACTCCATTAAAACCTTTGAATTGACTTTGAATTATCAGATATCATGTACATAAGTGCATGAATAGGAAACGTTTGGAGGGATATGGGCCAAATGCAGACAGGTGGGACTTTTTTAGTTTGGTAACGTGGTTGGCATCGAATGGTTGGACCAAAGGGTCTGTTTCCATGCTGTATGACGCTATCACTCTATGACCTCTGGATCTTTACATACAGTGCATCTACCATTTCCCCATTTTCCATGGCACACATTATTTCTTCAAAGAATTCCACTAGATTAGTTAAATATGATTTCTCTTTCAGGATGCAATGATGACTCTGCCCAATTACCTGGAACTAATTATCTATGTACCCTACAACAACATTTTTAGTTATAGATTTCAACTTTAGCTCTGGCATTTGTTGAGTTAACTGGCCTATAGTTTCATACTTTCTGTCTTCCCTTTTTCTTGATTAAAAAATACATTTTACTATTTTCAATCAAATGGGACAATCTCTGAATCTAGACAGTTTTGGAAAATTCAGATCTTTGTTTCAACTATACAACTTGCCACTTCTTTTAAGACCTCAGGATGAAACCCATCGGCACTTGAGCACTTGCCTATCCACAGCTCCAGTAATTGATTCAGTACCTTCTCTTTTATATCGGTGATTTACAGTTACTTCTGGGATATTATTTATATTCCCCATAGTGAATACTGATGCAAAATATCCATTCATTAAACATTGAACATGGAACTGTATAACACAGGAACTGACCCTTCGGCCCATGATGTTGTGTCAAACTTAATGCTAAATTAAACTAATCCCTCCTGCCTGCTCTTCATCCATATCCCTCCATTCCTTGCATATTCATGTGCTTATCTAAAAGTCTCTTAAATGCCCCTATTTTATCTGCTTCTGCTATCACCCATGACAGTGCATTCCAGACTCCTACCACACAGTGTAAAAAAACTTGCCCCTCACGTCTCCTTTGAACTTTTAAGATGAGAACCTTAAATGCATGTTCCCTAGTTTTAGACATTTCAACTCTGGGACAAAGATTCTGACTGTCAACCCTATTTACGAATCTCATAATTTTATAGACTTCTAACAAGTCTCCCCTCAGCCTCTGCTGCTCCAGAGAAAACAACCCCAGTTTTTCTAACCTCTCCTTATAATTCATACCCTGTAATCCAGGCAGCATCCAGGTAAACCTCTTCTGCACCTTCTCCAACGTCTCCACATCCTTCCTGTATTGTGGCGACCAGAACTGAACACAACATTCTAAGTGCGGCCTAACCAAACTCTTATAAAGCTGCAACATGACATCTTGTACTCAATTCCCCGAACACAAACCTTCTGTCGTTATTTTTCATTAATAAATATCCAATTCACATTCTATAGTGCTCATTTTGTTAATTTTTTTTTAAACATAACTTTTTGTAGGAACTCATTATCTGTTTTGTATTTCTGACTGGCATTGTCTCATACTTTGATTTTTTTCCCTACTTCTTAATTTTATAGACATTCTTTGCTATTTTTGTATTCTGATCAATTTTATGATTTGTTGATTGTCTTTGCAGAATTATGAGTTATTTCTTAAGTTTGATATGATCTTTGGCCTTTCAAATTAACCACAGATATTAATCCTTCCCTTGGGATTTTTTTTACTGTTAGGGAGTATCAATTCTGTGTACTCTGAAATAGCCCCTTAGATGCCTTTAACACATTTT